TCTGTCTGTCAACATGAGCACTGACCTCCAATTTCTCTCTCTTGCAGCCCCTCGGTCCCACTACCTGGCCGACAGCGGTACGTTCTGCCCACCCTACCTTCAGACCGTCATGTTCTGTGAGGGCCAGAGCCGAGTCAGCTGAGGTCCCCCTGAGCTGTGATGAGTATACAGCATGGTTGTTCCAGCACAGTCCTCATCTGACATAGTCCACCCCGTGCGTTTGTCAGATGGTGGGCTTTAATCTTTGGTTCTGGAACCAGGGCTGCAGTGCCCAACGGCTCCCAGAGAGAAATAAAGAGTATACCCATCTTCCACCCATGTGGGAGCCTGCCTGTCTGAGTTCTGAGCTCGACTCCAATCCCAGGGCCTTTGTTCAGAGCCACGATGTGGCCAGGACACAGGGGTCCATCACAGGAGTGTAAATGTGAGCAGTTAAGGCCATAAGACTCTGAGTGGGTACTTTGGGTGGTCCTTGAATTCTGCCAGGGTGAGGCACCCCTGAGATGGTTAGTTGTAAGCCTGGAGCGCAGTGGAAGGAGCTGGTGGCCCCTGTCTATGCCCCTTCCCATGAAAGCAGGGAGTAACGTTGGCCATTTGCCCAGATGACCTCAGGGAGAGGAAACCCTGGCTTGGGACTTCTGGTAATTGTCTTGGCTCCTTTTCAGACCCCCTCATCTCTAAATCTGCCTCCCTGCCTGCCTACAGAAGAAACGGGCTGCACAGGGTAAGTAAGATGCACTGGGGACATTATCCCCAAGCAGTTCACAATTCCTGCATCCACTCGTGGGTGATGACTAACGGATGAAACCCGGACAGAGGCTTTGGGGCTAGAGGTGCATTGACAAAAGAGCCCCCATGGGAGGGCTGGGAGCACCTAGTATTTATGGCACAATTACTCCATGCTGAACACTTTACAAGCACTCACTTATTGTAACCCTGCAAGGTAGTTACTATTTTTAATAACCTATTTTGTGGATGAAGAAATGGAGGTACAGACAGGTGCAGTGACCTGCTTGAGCTCTCATTCCTAGTAAGTGCTGAGCCAGGATTCGAGCTCAGGCCAGCTGCCCCCACAGCCTGACCTGACTGACTCACCTGCTGTGACCTGGAGCCTTCTGAACTCTTAGATATCCCACAGCATAGAACCTTCATGGAAGCTGAGTTGGTTTAAGGACTGAAAGGGAATGAAAAATGTCTTGTTGGCAAAAGGAGAGGCTCTGTGACTAGACAAGGAATGGGGCAAGGGAAGGGACATTAAGACAGACATTCATTACTGAACACCTACCAAGTGCCAGGCACTGTTCAGGGTGCTGGGGGTCCTACGGTGAACATATTTGCTGCTCCTGTGGAACTCACATTCTAGCTGGGGAGACAGATGACCCATAAGTGCATGTGTGACTTGAAGTCAGCAGTCACATGTACTTGGAGAAGGTCAGAGGGGTGAGTTTAAACAAAGACCTGAGTGCAGGGAGGGATGACCTCACCTGTCCAAGATGAGGAAGAGCCACCCAAACAGAGGCAAGCACCGTGTCAGAGCCCCTGGGTGGAGAGGACACGAGGCTGGGATGGAGTGAGCGTGGAGATGAAGCCAGACAGGTGTCATTAGGGCCCAGCGCTGGTAAAGACTCAGAAGGTTTCCTGTGGGTGTGCTGCACCAGCCAACTCAGATTTTTAATGGGCTCCCCCCTGTGTAGAGAAGAGACTGCAGAGGGACAGAAGTGGGAGACTGGATTGTGTAAGAGACAATTTTAGGGTTAAGCACACGAAGGGGATCAGAGCTCCACGGTAGAGTGATGGCTGGTGTTAATACCATCCCCTCTCCCAAGCAGAGGACAGACAGACCCTGTCCTCAACACACCCAGATCCTGGACGTTTGTTCATGAACAGATGTTTATACTGAAAGCCATTTGTGTATGCCAGGCATTGCTCTGGGTGCCTGGAATACCAGTGACCAAATCAAACATAGACCCCTGCCCCTTGGAGCTTATATTCTTATAGGGAGAAACAGAAAGCAAGTAGGAGTTACATAGTATACAAATCACCTTATACACTACTTGGAAGGTAGTCAGTGCTATGGAAAAAAAGGGGGAAGTTGAGCAGGACAAGAGGGGTGGCGAGTTGGGGAAGGGGCAACTTGTAATTTTAGATAGAGCTGTGAGGGTAGCTCTCATAGAAAAAATTATACTTGAGTAATGAAAAAAAAGCGTATGCTGCAGTTCACCAACATATGACTATTTACGGAGTGCCTACTATGTGCCAGGCCTAGGCACACGGCAGCAAATTAAATCATCCCAACTTGAGACTGAGGCTTCTGAGACAGCACCGAGTCCCACCAGCTCCAGTCCACTTTCTGGAGATGGGTGAGGACTTGAGTGAGGCAGAGGTGAGCCCACCTCAGGCCAGCCCTGCTTCTGTCTCCCCTGCAGACACCCAGCGCAGACCTATTCCACTACGACAGCATGAACGCCGTCAACTGGGGCATGCGAGGTGAGTGTGGGCCTCTCCTGGGACTTCACAGGGACCTTGTTATAATGCACTGCTCACAGCTGCCCATTTGACAAACAATTATGGCCCCACCCTGGGCTCTATCTAAACCCCGAGTTCCCTTTTCACTTCCCGCCCTCCCCCCTCACCCTCTCAGGTCCCTGGCCTTGGGTGATCTCCAGTCCTTTTGTCCCATCTGCATTCCCAGAGCCATCACAGAGTGCTTGCTTTTCTCCCAGTACTGCTGAACTGCAGTTGCCTGCCAGCCCCCCGGGTAGAGGGAAACACTCAGAGCCAGACACATTGTTCCCAGAAAAAATTCCATGAGCCTCACACTGTGATGCTCTTCCACCAGCCTCATCTGGCTCCAGTAAGCAGTCTCAGGCAGGTCCACATCAAACCCTGGAGGAATCCCCCTGGAAGATGAAGGACTTCACCCATGTGCTTCATGGCCCCCAGACTCTTCTTATTTCTATTCTAAATATCACTAAAAACCTGTTGCTGGATCAGCCCAACCCCTTTCTCCATTGTATTCAAACCAGCCTTGATTTGGGATGAATTCAATAAGGACAGGGTCTCTATAACAGAAGCCAGTGTAGGGATTCAAAGCCAACACTGATGGTTTCTACTTTTTGTGTGTCTCTCTTCTCTCTGCAGAGTACAAGGTAAAGATACATAGACCCTGCAGGTCTCTGGACCCTGCAAGTTGCTACACTGGGGATGAGCAGCAAGATGACAGCACTGTCTATGTAAAGAAGGGACCATCGACAAGTAACCCCAAGGGTCCTCTCAGGATTAGCATTTCCGGTCCCAAGAAAATTAGCATTTCCTTGGGCTTTTTCCCTGAATCCTGCCCTACATCTCTTGCCTCCTGAAACCAGACAATTCCCCCAGGTCTCGGAGACATTTCTGGAGGCATGCCAATTACAAATATGAGACATTCACATTCAGGAGCCCTTCTGCTCACACACCATGCTCATCCCTGGCAGTATCTGAGGACTCTGGGGTCTTGCCTTTGGCAGAAGGTGCCTTGAGGCTGCCAGGAAACTCCAAAGAGGACGCACCAGTGCTTCCTCCAGACTTGATAATCTCTGGCCCTTCCTGGATAGAAGAGGGATCGCAGCCACCACCCTCACCCAACCTACAAACACCCCCTCCTGTCTCCTCAGATCTACCCTTATGAGCTGCTCCTGGTGACCACAAGAGGGAGAAACCGACTGCCGAAGGATGTGGACCGGACGCGTTTAGAGGTAGGTATAGAAAACTGGGCAGGAGCCTCTGGGTTTGCAGTGATTGCAGAAATTGACTGGTCTCACCCAGCTTGGGAGGGACAGACAGAATAAATGATATAGGGGTCACACAGCTGGTTGAAAAAGCAGAGACTCCTACCTGGTTTCCTTAGCCCAGGCTGTTCCTTGCTGTTCTATGCAGCCTGTTGATTCAGTTAGCATCTGTGGTGCACAGCTATAGCGTGTCTCCAAACTGGGCTGATACTTTTGCAGACGTAAGAGGAGAGCTGAATTTGGTTCCTGCCTTTCAAGGTCCTGCAGCCTGTGTGCTAAGAAAAAACAGCACTGGCGTTTCACAG